AATACCTCCCAGTGGACTGCTCTACAGCCTATGCCACATCCTCGCAGGTGAGTAGCAACAATCTTATCTCTTCTCACGAGTGAGATTATGTACCGTAGGAGGACTAAATGCAATACATCTATTAACAAAGAACAATATAGGGAGATAAGTGTTAAAGTGTTAAAGGTGGGTCGCCAAGTCTACTCGATTTGATGACTTAACATTATAGGGAGGTAAGTGTTAAAGTGTTAAAGGTGGGCCGCCAAGTCTACTCGATTTGATGACTTAACATTATGATCTTAACTGGCTCCGAGTCATCTGAGAATCTTTTGCAAGGCGTCTTTCTTAAGTTTGTTATTTATTTATTTATTTATTTATTTGGCCTTTGGCGTTTTGGATAGAAGACCTTAAAAAAAAGCGTCTATGTTATCAAAAATCTTTTTAAAGAAGAAATGTGTAAAATACCGGCTAAAAAAGTATCATTAGAAAGAACAGTTCTTTTTCTATTAAAATAAAGTCATCGGCTTGGAATCACTTTGCATGAATCCTTCCGCGAATCTTCGGGGAGCACTCTGTACACTACAGTATAGAGCCGATCGCTCTCCGCGGGGGCTAATGTGGCGCCGGCCGTGACAACGCTCGGTGTTTTTATTGAAATAATGACAGATCATCGTGTTTGAGGCAATAAAATACCGATTTGTAATGATCTCACAGTCTTGAAAAAAATTAGGCTTCATTTCTTTGTTATACCGATTGTACTCTGTAGAGATGTTTGGCACACTTGATACTCTTTTATTATCTGTCAAACATGGGGTTGCAGCCAGTTAGCGACTTCAGCAATATTTGATTATGTCAAATTGAAACAGCTGCCATTCTCTTAAACATTGACTGAGAGGTAAACGTAAGGTACCAACATTCTAAGGAGACATAGGCATTTTTTTTTTTTTAAAGATGAATTGGACATACAGCTATTTAAAAAATTCAGTATCTGGTATCAAGTGTAATGCTAATATTTTGTTGCATTTCACCCTAAGTCCATTCTCGTGAAAATTTTGTTTTGTCAATGAGGTTTTTTTCTGTAAATGAATAGTTTTCTACTTCTGTACGTTACCGTGTAGTGGTATAGCCAAAATAACGGCTAAATTTCAAGTCTCTATCTCAATTCTAAGACCCCTGTTGCTATGAAAACGTGTTGCTCAACTTCGGAGGCCATTTTCTCCTTTTCGTGTTTCCTCAACTCGCACCATTAAAAGTTCTGCATTTTCGTCAAATAAGGTCATGTATACATGTACTTCATTCTTGTTTTAAATTGTACGGAAAAGGTGATAGTTTTTTAAAATAATTTTAACTCAGTTTTGAAATTTCCTTCATATGACTGATATTGACCGGCAGGCTTTCAAATGTAGAAACACCTTTATAAATGGGTCCAGAATTTTTTGTAAAATTTGTGTGGTACAAAGTTACGTGCTCATTGACAAATTAATACATAAGAGCGGATTTTTTTTTACGCGGACGTAAAAAAGTAAACAAGCAATAAAACTAAACCCGGTCTCTCCGGACACCACCACCCCCCCACCCCCTCCACAAACCAACATTACCACACAACGATTGTTCTCACCCTCATTGTTATATTCCCGCTTTTATTCTTTTAAAAAACCCAACAGCAACAATCCCCCCCCCCTGAAAAATACATAAGAACAATTAATATCCAAATGTTCTCTCTCTCTCTCTCTCT